ACCCTGCCTTCTTTTTCTCTATTTTTTTTTTAAAAAAAACAGGGTCTTATCTGTCACCCAGACTGGAGTACAGTGGCACAACTGTGCCTCACAGCAACCTTGAACTCTAGGGCTCACCCAGTCCTCCCACATCAGCTTCTGGGACTACAGATGCACACCACCACACCAAGCTAATTTTTTTTATTTTTTACTAGGAACAAAGTCTCACTATGTTGCCCAGGCTGATACTGAACCCATAGGCTCAAGCAATCCTCTCGCCTACACTTCCCAAAGTGCTGAGATTACAAGCATGAGCCACCTGGCCAGGCCCTACAAATAAGTGTTGATTATTTTGTTTCTCTGAACTAGAAGCCTTCTACAATGAATAAATTCAAACACCTTTCTTGGCCCACAGATCCCGATGTAACATTTTGTAGAGAACACAACGTGGTACTTATTTTGTATGTCAAGGTTAACTTTGAGATTAAAAAAAAAAAAAGTTCTAATCACTTACTCTAAAATGAATCCGCTGAGAACAAAAATTCTCGTTAAACAGCTTTGTTAATCAGAGAAATTTATAATTATACATTTTGATTCTAAAAGGTCTGAAATTAAAATACAGACACTGTATTGTTCTAGCTCCACCAACTAAAAATAAATGTAATTTTAGGTGTGACTCAGAATTTGTAAAATTGAACTAAACTTATATGCATGACAATATCTTGTTAATTTATCTGTATTACTAACAACTTGGCTTACGACAATGAAAAGATTTTAAATTTCCTTTCTATATTTAAATGTTTGCTGGATTTAAAACATCAAATGTCATTGACTTTCACTTCCATCTCTGAATTATTTCAAGAAAACTTCGTTTTTCAATTTCCACACTAGCCAAGTGAAAAACTGCAAGCAGCAGGAAAATTTATCTAAAAGAGTTTTAAAAGTAAGTTTTAAAATTTATATTAAATATATTTTTAAAGCATAAAATGACTTAAAATTATCTTCCTCAAAGTATATGGTTTCTAAGAAGCACTCTTAAAAAATGTTTATAAAAGCAACATAGCACACTAGACACTAATAATTATCTTAAGCACAGCTTTTTAATCGAATCGATATTTCATAATTTTACAAGTTGTGACTAATCAGTACTACGATGCCCTGTAATGACATACATGAGTTCTGAGCCTAAAGAAAATTTCAGCACACATACACACACACAAAGTCGGCTTTTCTTTTTAAACCATCCCACAATTCAACACCTCTGTATGGCATTCTCTCTAAATTATCGTATCCGGTTGGGATTATCCAATTTTATTAGCTAACAGTTCTCATTACTTTAAAAACACAAACAGGATATGTTCTGTTTCATCAAGTCCACAAACATTTCACTGCTACAAGACTGGACGGAAAAAAATCTTTGGAAATAAAAGATAATCTGATCCTTTAGAGCTAATTACTAAATGCATGCCAACAACACACAATTCGAATTGCAGTTCTGGGCACAATTTATTATCATGAAAGGGCAGGTCAAATGTGTAAGGAACTGCTTTTATCAAAGCGAAGAAGCAGATATACCGAATCCAAGATCTCACACAAAATTCATCTAAGACTTGGTAATCTTCTGAAAAGAAAATATTTAATCAACGTTGTTCATATAACAGTAATTCATCCCATTCAAATATGACTAGAAATCCCGCTGGTGTGTTTCTTTCAGGTCAAAACATCTAATTCTTTCGCAATCCAGGTATCAACAGGATCTGAAACCCTTCGCAGAGGCGTGCAACACACTAGGAGAGCGCAGTCTGTTTACAAATACGAATCTCAGTTACCCACGTCAAAACCGCGCATTACCACCTTTCGACTGGGGGGCGGGGGAGAGGCAAGGCGGGCTTGCAAGAAACAAAATCCACACAGACACCTCTGCCTTCCCCCTACAAGGACGAGCGCCGGGGAAACGTTCAGTATGTATTATATGAGTGTGTACATTTATATACATTGTATAGTCACCTATATCTAAGCAAGGATAAAAGAAAAGGTACACATGACAGAGAATCGTCACTGGACCCAAGAGAAATGTTCAAACCAATCCCGTTAACTCAAAATCCGTCCCCGCTGGTCTACAACAGGTTTCGGTCCGGGACGGGGAGCCCTAGCCACAGTGTGGAGTTCGTCCCCAAAGCGCCCCAATGCCCTCCTCAGGCCGCCCAGGCCGCCGTCCCTACCTCCCTTATCTCAGGCTTCCCCTGGGACACCCGAAGCCCGTTCCAGGAAAGAAAGAAGTGTCAGGCCCCAAGGGGACGGCTGAGACGCTCTCAGGTCGGGCCCCCGACACCTGCGAGGCTCGGCACCTGAGGAGGGCGAAGCGGGGGCCGCCGGCCTTCCCGAGCACACCCCCTCGGCACCGGGCGCAGCGCCGCAGCCGGAACCTCGTACCTGCGAGGCCCGCGAGCTACAGGCGCGCGCGACGCCTCCTCATCTCAGTGGCTCCCGCTCTCCCTCCGCCTCCTGCTGCCGCCGCCGTCGCCGCTGCCGCCGCTGGAGGCCGAGACACGACGAGCTCAGGACTCCACCGCCATGTCCGCCGCGCCGCGAACTGCATTGTGGGGGGGAAGGGATGGGGAGGGGGAAGAGGAGGGAGAGGGAGAGGGAGAGAAAAAGGAGTACCCGCTGAGGGGAGGGGGCGAGAGAGAGGGGCAGCCTGGGGAGAGGGGGAGGAGAGGACGGAGCTTGGAATGGGGTCCAGGCTTGGGAGGGGAGGAGCTACCCGCTGAGGAAAGGGCTCTGGAGTGTCCCCTCCCTTCGTTCCGGGGGCCCCCCCAAGGCACCGTTTACACCGGGGCGGGGGAGGAGAAACAGCACTGGGGGGAGGGGGCGCTTGGTGGCCGCGAAGAAACAATGGGGAGAGGGCCGAGGTGGGAGGACCGCGCACTCACACCGACGCGGAGGGAAGGGAGAGCGCGCGAGACACTCGTTAGCTCGCGAGGAGGGGGCGGGCCCCCCTGGCGGAGAAGGAGGGAGCCACCGGGGGCTCAGGGGCAGGGGCGGGGCCACCGAGCGGAGGTCGCAAGGTCCCACAGCCCGCCCGGGCGTCGCGGGTAGCCGCGCGGATTCGCCTGCTTGCCTTGAAAGGCTGGGGGTGGCCGGCACCCCCGCTCCGCCTCCTTCAGGTTCTGGGGCTCTGCGGAGGCCCCGGGGCTGGAAGCGGAGCCCGAGAGCTGCCTCAGCGCCTCGCTCCCCAGGCTACTCCCCCTGGGGAGGAAGGCCGGCCTGGGATGGGTACCCTCTGACCTGGCACTGGAACTGGGCCCGGCCAGAGCCTCGGCGGAACTTCGGCCTCCCGCGCGGGCTTCGGAGCAGCGGCAGGGAGCGGGACCGAGGAAGCCCCCGGAGTCGACCCCCACCCATCCACCACGGCCTCCAGCCGACCACAGCTGGGTATTTTTTACTTTTAAAAGGCAGCCACTTCGGGAATTAAGGAGCTCAAAAGAGAAATCTCTGGAGCACTCCTCCTCTCACCCCCAAAAGAGATTTTAGAAATCATTTCTTTAGTTGCAGGCGGGCATAAAACCAACTACCACCAATGGGCCCCCTCCTCCCCTTGGTTTTAACATATTACATTCCTTTACATAATTTTTAAAGTCACGGGCAGAGCAGACTTAGGGTTTTGTTAGTTTGGGTTCTTTTTTTTTTCTAAAGACCCCAGCGTCAGATTATTCAGCCAATCTCTGACCTCAAAACTGGACACAGCAAACAACCTGTGTTCTGTTCCCAGCCCGTTGAGTTTGACACATGCTAGGAAGGAAAAAGGTTTGACAAGAGTGGACGTAGGGTTGAAGGGAAGATGCTAAATCTTAAGTATTTACAAGATAGTGCCTTATAAATTTTCTTATAATGTGACTCAGGCTGGAGGTGGTTAGAGGTTGCAGAGGGACGCTACGCTTAACGATACTGTTGCTCCCATTTACAGATGAAAAAACTAGGATTCAGCGTTAGTGCATTTTACCCCTATCTGGCTGATGCTACAAGGCCGAGGTATAATGGATAGAGGACTAGATTTCAAATCAAGAGAGCCCTACCTGGTTTTGGCATGTATCAACATGATGCCTTTAAGCAAATGTACCCTCTGAGTTTCCTCATCTGCAAATTGTTAATCTGTATCCCTGCTTCACTTGACTAGCTTAAAAACAAAAAAAAAATCGCTTCTTCAACGGGCTGATGTAAGGAACTCAGCAGGAAACAAAAGTGAAAGCCTAAAGTCTATAGAGACACTAAGAAGATACCAACATGCCCTTCAATTTAGTGATATCAATGGTGTCCTTAGAACAAGTTCAATTGAGTACACATTTCCTGGTTACTTAAGAGCAAAGCGTTGTTAGGTGCCTGTGGAAACAAAGACAAACCACTGATTCCTGTCTCCAAAGTGTTCACCATTGAGCAAGGCAGGTGAGCTACAATAAAAGCAACAGGTCGTGTTAACAAAGGGCTGGGCAAATTCAGAGGACAGTGTGATAAATTACACTTTGGTGAGACTTCAGCGGAAGAAGTAGAAGCTGGACCTTGAAGATTCGCCTGCTGAATCACACATGTCGGTGATTCAGAGGACAGCATTGAGTCTGGAGTGTGCAGAAGATAATGAGACTGGAAAAGAAAGCTGAGGCCAGACTCAGAATTTCAGTGCCTCTCTGCCCTTATCCCCTCCAGATAACTATCCTCGACAACCTTTCTTATTCCCCAAGACCCAGCTCAACCTCTATCTTCTTTATTAAATCTCCCTGATTACCACCCTTCCTCTGCACTCCACTGAATGTGATCCCTCCGTTCTCTGAATTCCGTGACCCCAATAGATTGTACACTTGAGCACAGATACTTAACAGATATTCTTTACGATACCTACATTCTTGTTGAGTTGGAAATTTTGGCAACTGTAATCTTGTTTATCATCACAGCTAGAGCAAGTATTGTTCTGACACAAAGAATAAGGAAATTTATGGAGTATAAGGTGTAATTCATGTCCAGGGTCATACAGTAAGTCACAGGCAGGACTAGAATACCAGCCCTGTATTCTTTCCATTGAACCACAAACAGGTTTCTGAGATATAAAATGGTAAATGTCTGACTGCTTTTTAAAAATACTCCGAGGACCTACACTTTCAAGGGAAATCTCATGATTGTGGTTAAGCCACCAGTCTGAAAGTTCTGGAAACTTAGTTTCATCCAAACCCAGGTGAAAATAACTTGCAGCAAAAATATTAATTCATTATATCTCATGAGGAATATAATTAGTGGATCAATATTCATATTCTATTGTCTTCCTAGGTGAATAAGAAAACTTAATAACTAATAATATTGAATGAAAAGGTGACTTGGTAAGTAAAATCATGACAAGAAAGGTGCCTACTCCCAGCACTTTGGGAGGCTGAGGTGGGCAGATCACTGAGGTCGGGAGTTCAAGACCAGCCTGGCCAAAACCATGAAACCCCATCTCTACTAAAAATCCAAAAATTAGCCAGGCATGGTGGCAGGTGCCTATAATCCCAGCTACTCACTCGGGAGGCTGAGGCAGGAGAATCGCTTGAACCAGGGAGGCAGAGGTTGCAGTGAGCTGAGATCGTGCCTTAGCACTCTAGTCTGGGCGACAGAGCAAGACTCCAACTCAAAAAAAAAAAAAAAAAAAAAAAAAAAAAAAAAAAAAAAAAAAAAAAAAAAAAAAAAGATGCCTAAGTCTGATCAACCCGAGTTCTGCTGTTTGATCATAAAGGGTTCTGTATGCCACCGGGAAAAAAAAAGAGGAGACTTCATATTGTAGTTATTGGGGAATCACTGATCACTTGTAAGCAAGAGAGAAATACAATCAGACCTGCTAAGCTGTTTCTCTGAGCCCCATTTTTTTTCTGTGCACTTGATTCCTTTAAGAAGAGAGACTATAGACTCTGGGTGATAATGATCTCCAGTGAAAAACAGTACATCACACCCATGATGTGATCCAAACCAAGTCTCCTTCACCTTTGTATTTTCAGCATGCAGCATAATCCTGACACATCGAAAGCACTCAGAAATTGCTTGTTGACACTTTAAATTGTCTATAAAGCATAAGATATGGTCAGTGTTTAAAATTTTTGTGATTCTTGCAAAGACCATGACAATGCCAAAGCTCTTAAGGTATATGCTCACCTCAAGACAGTGTAAAGAATTTCTCTTCGTCTGTTTTCCTTTTTTTTTTTTTTTTTTT